TTTCCGCCACCCGATTTTTCACCTAGTAATGTAACATCAGGCATGAATTCCGACACTAATTCACACATCTCAGTTTTATATTCCATCTCACAACTCAATAACCCGAATATTGAAACCCCCGATGAATTTGCCGACTCAGAACCATCCCCATCCAATAATTTTCATAACTCTTCTAATTTTTCTCAACCCCCTTTTCAACCCATATTATCCAATAACCCTGACCCCATTACTCCCACACCCTCTTATGCTTCCCAAGTTACCCCAACCTACTCCTCATACCATTCTGACCAATCATCTCATTCTCCAGACACCCCCCGAATCTCCCCAGAGCTAGATAATTTTATTACCCTTCAACAACAACCCTACCACCTTAATACCCCAACCATAAACCAAATCTCCTCCACAATAAATTCATCCAACCCCCCTACCCCTACACCCTCTTCAAATTATACTGAATCATTAGCACCATCATCCACATCAACTGAATCTTCACTCAACACTAATAGAGCTTACCGCACTTTTAAAAGAAAGTTCCCCAACCATCCTTTCCCAGCAAAACCAGGAACAGCCCGTGAATACATCAACCACCCCCAGCATACTAACACTAAAGAATTTTTAGCTATCACTTTACCCTCATTTCCACAATACACCTTAAACACCCCTCACGACGCTAACGAAACACGCAACTTTGTAGATGAATACGTTTTAATGCCCACTCTCTCTTGGACCTCATATTATCATTTTACTAACCCTCTTTGCTTACCTTTATCTAACACTCACATCGATATAGAGCGAAATAAGGACATGCTATATCAACTCACTACACCACTAACCGCTAGACAATTTACTTACGTTGGATATAAAAAATCACTAAAAACACACACTGCACCTAGAGCTAACGAATATACACTAGAATACTACGATCACAACATCATTAGAGCTAACCAAGATCAATTCTTAGACGACGATCGCTTCGCTAATCCACAAATCACCGAGAAATTTTTCATCAAGACACCATATGTATTTACACTAAACATCTTCGACCGAAAGTTTGATCACATTATTTCAGAAGCACTAACAAACACACAAGCATACGAAAGTTTTAAAGAACGCTTCCAAATCTTTTCACTAACCTTTCATTTCCTTGCACCACACGAAAGAGATTTACACTGCTCACACGATATTATGTTGCGCACTAAACAAACACATACATACAGTTACTATCGTTTCATCCAAAATCACTTTGACCTCCACACACCCTCTAGACAACCACACCATCGTTTCCAATTCATCAATTCAAAATACACTTCACCATATTTCCTAAATTTTACATATTGTATTAAAGACACTAACCTCCATGGTATTCTTCGTAATTATGACCCCATAACCCAAATGTACATTTTCTGCCCCATCACCAAGACCTTCAACGCCGAAGAATCCCGACCCTTCCTTATCCCGCACGAGTTCCTACAACCTATAGAAATCCCAATTTTAGAATTCATCCACAACACTAAATTTAACCACAAATTATATAACTTAATCCAAAACACACCTTATGAGTTTGCAGTAGGCACTGAAGAACTGACCACTATTAAGGCACTTCAATTGCTTTGGCCACTGCTTCAGACTAAAAATATCATCCGCATTCTAGCTAAACTACTAACAACTTCAGAACTAATTCACGACATCTTCCCCCACGGTTTTTTCCCCGACGACTAACAGGTAAGTATGAATTAAGTAAATATTACTAACTAATTACAGTATTAAAAACTCACCATTCTTTATTCATGTTTTCTTTAGATTTTTAGCCTTCATCCTAGATCATCTGAAAAATTCACAAAAGAAAAATAAAAAATAGCAAACTTCTTCAAAACTGTTTAAGACCCTATTAAACTTTTGCACCAACAATTAAATAAATATAATACCAATGCAGTAAATTAATTTATAAAATTTTCCCCAAAAGCAGTAAATCTACATATGATGAAAATTTGTATCTTAAAATTCCCCCATAACTAGCAGTAAATTTCCAAATTCTATGCAGTAAATTCATAAAATGCAATTGCAGTAATAACCTTTAGATATTTTCATTCATTCGCACAGAAATTCTATCCACACTCGCACAGCTCGCCCACGAAGAATTGTTTAAAATAATGAATTTCAGTTTCAAGTTTTCACACTCAACAACTCTAACATACAATAACATGTTTCAAACTTTCCTTTAACCCGGTTGGAAAGGAATCATATACTAAACAAAACTAACCAACGCAGCTTACTAAATATCACAAATCATAGAATAACAGCATGACTAAGAAAAGGAAACCAACGGTACCCAAACCGGATTAACCCAGTTTAAAACTGGATAATTTATTCTTTTGAAGACTATTACAAAGTCTTAGAAAGAAATAATAAAACACAAAAAAGTCGAAAGACAAACCCATACCACAAACAATTTGATTTTTGAAAAAAGTACATAACCAACAAGACATAAGTAAAACCACAACAAACCCAACATAAAACGTTGTCACATAACAGGACCCCTCACAAACACCGCATGAAATCATACTCCCACTCCTGGCCTAACCCACCAGGAAAGGACGTCCTGAGCATGCTCTATAGCCGGCCTAACCCACCGCGCTACATCCACGCTTTGTGACCACACCTTTATTTTTAATAAGAGCTACTCAAGGGTGAGTAACTCTTCAAAATAACCGAACTAAAACAAAAAGCTTTTGTGAAAACAACTAACTAAAATCATTATTAAAAAATATTAAACTAATAAAAGTTTTATAAAATGTAAAATCACCTGATGCAATATATAGATCAGAATACAACACCAAGGACGAACATCAAAAGACAAGACGACCTCACTACACTCGAGAGAGAATGACCAACTACAATCGATATGCCGCTCACAATCACAACTCAAAGGATTTAGAGTACGACTTGACTTCGCAGAAAAGGACTTCATTGAACTAGACCAATGACCACCTCGATGTTCAAGTATACGTACAGATCCGAGTAACCAGGCATCCCCTCCACGCACAATCTCCACGCCATTCCCAAGCTAGATCAGACACAAAAGAAGTTCTCCCCGAAGAACAGAAAAACCTGACATAGCCAACCATTCTGAAATCAGAATTGATTTGTCGTTGTCACAAGAAGAAGCGGGAGAAAATTATGATGTTCGCCAAATACCAACATCCATCATCCACCCTTGAATTACAGAAGAACTGTTCTAAAAAACTCTGTAAAACCCGGATGGGTGGAACCTGATCTAAACTATATTTTATGATTGGATAAATTAAATGTTTTACCAATGTAAAGTATTTAATATTAACCAATCATGATCCATCTAACTAACAACCCACTTATTTGTAAGTGCTGAAGTTACTTGTAATTTCAGCACCAGAGAGATTTGAATTTAACTTAGAAATTAGTTGGACTCTCCCGAGCACTTCAGCAGCCGCAATAAACCAGTATACCCTAGATCTATTGAGCCTAGCAGAGACTAGTTAAACAACCTGAGACTAGATAGTATAAGAGTAAGATTAGGATCGGTATTAGACTAAGAAGTTGCACGAATCTATCCGGCCGAAAATAAGATAGCGTGACGAGCAGACGGTGTACCCTATCCGAAATTACTCTATGAGTTACACTTCGGTCCTAACTCAGTTCTCAAAAAACCTCTGAAAAAGCAAAAATTTACCTCAAATCAGAGCTGAGGTGTTTTTTGATTAATAATTCTCTTCAATTATTTATGTTACGAAAAATATACTCAAGAGAAATGCACACTCAGAATTTGTTGACCAAAAATTGTGTTTTTTTTTGACCAGCAGGGCACTTTCAGACAAAATTTAGGGTCGGTCGGCCGGCCACGAATGGATGTCGTAAAACAGTATCAAACAATGTTCTGAGTCGCTTTTTTCTTAATGGAATTTTTCACCTAATTCAGTTGCCTTTTCTCGAAAAAACGACCAGGAAACTCACTTTTAAAAAATGCAACTTAAATTAAAAAAATGCAACTTAAATTTAAAATTCTGTTTTTGAATTTTTTCTTTAATCATTTTGGTCGGAATATTTTCTCCAGGGGAGCGGTGGTGAAGTGGTTACGTCTCCGCCTCTCAATCGAAAGGTCGGATGTTCGAGGCTCACCATGAGCCGTGCTCGTTGCTTGAGGGTGAAGCAATATTACCCAGCCCAGAAAAATAACCAAAAAAAATTGCATGTAGTTCTTAAACAGGGGCAAAACAGCGGTTCGCCGTGATGAGCTGTACAGCTCTTGTGTTGGTCCTTTCCCCCGTGGATAAATGGTCTTATATGCACAGCAACCGGCTATTTTTGTTCACCAATCGGGACCCAATAGGAAATACCTTCACTAAGTTGTGTGAGATGCGAGAAGGAACACGCTGAGATAGGTGTGACACATTTTTGAGTGATTCGTGAGATGGAGGAGTGCATCAAAAATCTGGGGAAGCGTACTGTTTGGTATGAGCAAGGATGGAGGAGGGCAATTTAAGATTACTGCTGAACCATTCACTGTTAATTTGGAGGAGATAAGAGAAAAGGTGGGTAAAATGGTCATATCGGCAAAGATAGCATCGCCAACTTTTTTCTGTGTGACTGGGGGTGGAAGAAACAAACTAAGATAATAACGACACCTTTTTAGGAGATACAACAAGGGGCCACCCTAAGAAAACAACAATACCTTTGGGCGTGATGGGAAAGGAGAAGATCCTAAGATAAAAGCTAAGCCCATTTCATTTAAGTGACATGGGCGAAGAAGGTGAGCCTAGGAGAGTCGCCAAACCCTTTTGAGTAATATGGAGAGGAGGGAATATTGTAAGATAATAACACCGTCTATTATCGAGGAAGGCACCATACTAGCTACAACAGCGACCTCTTTTTGACTGACAAGAGGAAGGGCAACACCCAAGATAATAGCGATATATTTCTTGTCAGATAGGGAGGACTAGAAGAGACCAAATGTAACAGTGACTAACACTGCGCAATTGTCGTGGCAGTAGTTGTCATTACAACACATCGACCCCACTGAGCTGTCTTGATTTTCCTGCACCCATAGGCAGTACCAGTCATCACTGCATCTCTCATGATCATGGTCAGCCACAACAGAAGTTACTTTCAACAAACACCCGAGGAGCAGAATTTGCAGCACTCGCGATAGGGCTAAAAACGGAACGGGTGACTTGCACTTTTTTTAGTTTCTTGGTTTGTGAGTGTTTTTTTAACCTAAAAAAGGAAGTAAAAATTTAGCGAGCAAATAACCTTCCCGTTGCCGGGGGGTTAGGCATCATTACCCAGCCCAGAAAAATAGCCAAAAAAGTAGCATGAATATCTTAGCGAGGGGAATAACAGCAGTTATCCGTCAAGAACTGAAGAGCTCGTATGTTTCTCCTTTTGCCTTGTGAATACATCGTCTTGAACGTAATCTTATTTGCGTTCAATTTAATTAGTAAGTTTCAAATAAAAGGTAATTGTGCGAACATCTCACTAGAAATAATTAGAAGGCAAACTGGGACTTTCACTGTCGCTTTTAGGTATATCGAGTGAAACCTTATGGTTGCGACTCGGTATTCTGGAAAAAAAAATTAAATCCGTCGAGGACTTTTTTTCCGACTTTCGATACGAAAGTAACGGAATATTTGTGCTCGGGGTGGGTTTTTTTTTCTTCAGACAAATTTCGACTTTTTAACTAGCCATTTTTGACGGAATTTTTTTATATCATTCGAAAGGTATTGTTGTCCTGAGGTTATATTTGAAAAGATATTTTACCTGTGATCATTTTTCGTAAAGTTACGGGGGTTTAAAGATTGTCATTTTGGCCAATTTGGGACAATTAACGCGCGATATATTTCACGCTATTAACGCGTAAGCGGAGAGTTAATCGGTCTTAGAAATGGTTCCCAATTGGTTGAAAGAAGCTTAATTGCCATAATTGATTTGTTACAAGGAGCGAAATTTATCCTTTTGTACTTAATATGGCGTGTGGGGGGATGATTTTCATTAAAAAAATTCAAATTTTAGAAGAAAAAAAATTTTCATTTTGTTTCATTTCGTTTAATTTCTGCCCCATAAACATTAAAAGGCGGTCGGAACATTCAGGGCTTCGCCCTGATACGAGCAGTCTTGTTTCATTTTCAGACTGATTTACTACTAAGAAAGATCACAAGAAGTTAGAGTAGAGCACTGCAGATTACATATATGCTTTTGCTTTACTTTCAATTGAATAGTGGTTCCTGCAAATTGCAGTGAAGCAATCAGTAGACCTTAACAGCCCTGTCTAAGATAGTCCATTTTTATTATGCCCTCATTTTCCAGACTGAGTTATTTTGTTGACCGAAGCTTTTTTTACGACAAAATCATTGCCATTACAGGGGATCAAGCATTCGATCCGATGTGTTGAAAGTGAACGCCCTGCTAATTTTTTTGCCAATTTAAGCGACTTGAATAACCATTATTTAGAAAAAACGGAAGAAAGCTTTGTTTTTTTTGCATTTTTGAGGCAGTCATTGTGGTCTAAACATTCTGTGCTACTTGCAGAAAAATTGGCTATCCTTATTTTAAAGTTTTTCAACCATTCAAGTTCAGACTAAAAGAAAACTAAATTTTTACCTTTGCCGCGAAGAAAGCTTGACATTTTGACTTAGTTTGATCAATTAGTTATTCTGTAGTAACTAATTTTAGAGATATCAACTTTATATTTTCATAAAACGTTTCTCTTTTAGTAATGTTGGCTCATGTAAAATTTTAGATTCTGTAACCAAAACTGACTATATTTTTCACAAGTTTGTTTTCGAATGGTTTTGTCTGGCAAAAAAACATGCACCGTCAGTTTAAACATAAAGAGCTCCGAATATTTTTATACTTAATTTGTGTACCGTCAGTTTAAAAATAAAAAGCTAAGAATAGTTATACTTAATTTGTGTTAATTGTGTTCAATCCAAAAAAATTGAAATCTAAGTGAAAACAAGAATTTTTCCAACCACCCGCCATCCCCCTTCAAACCACCACTAAAACACACCCGGAAATAATTATTATTTATTAGACGAAAAGTGTGTTTTTAGTACTATACATCAAAACCCGAATTCCGCATGCAAAAGCATCAAAAGTTGAGAAGTTTATAGTTGACAACTGGCCGAAAGCAACAAGCAGACACAAACGGCATTCCGCCGTATTTTGAAAAGTAATGATTAGTACTAGGCAATAACTGATACCAGGCGATAATTAGTAGGTCTATTATCTCGTTTCTCAATCGCACATTCAATTTGCGTGCCGAAACAGCAAATTTCTATAAAACAGCCTGACATTTAACAGCGTATATTTCCGACGCCTTGAAAGCGCGCCCAAAAACCCATGGCCACTGTGAGTTCAAGCTACTAATAAACTGATGTAAATGCACTTGATGCGAAAAATTTGATTTGCAAGGTTTTCCAAATACAGCCAGTTTTCGTTTCAAAGAGTTTTGGCCGTATCTCAATAAAATAACTGCAAAATTAGCGGTTATCTATAAAAAAGATTATATCAAATCTATGGCCAATGTTTTAAGAATTACCGGAATTTGCAGACTGTCCAACCACTGGCTCAAAAAATTTTGATAATTAAATTGATGAAAAACGTGGATAATTGGATATGTAGTGTAACGTACCAGCAACTTATACCAGATGTTCTCCCCGAGTGATTGCAGTCACCATGTATTTAAGGAAGCGACAATGCCAGCGATTCTAATGCTCGTTGCCATTCTCGCGTTTTTGTGATGTCCTTTCATAATATAAATTTTGCGATTTTGCTGCGTTAATACGCATGCAATTTCTATCAATTTTTATAAAGTTGCAATAAAAAAAATGATGAAAAGACTTAGACTGGAAAAACAGAACTAAAACACTACGCTCCATGTGTAACAATTGACTTGTGAAAGTTGTAAATAAACAGTATACGACCTTAAAGCTCTTTGAATTTCTAGATTATTTTAGGATCGACTTTTTTGATAACATTATCCCAATTTTAGAAAACTCGATCAAGGAGTAATTTTTTAAGTACGCTGGAAAATCTGAAAATTAAATTCCATTTTCGAAACCAGAATTTGATCATGGTTTTCAGCACCTTCACATTTTTGCGTTTCGATAGTATAATTTGCCTTCCTTTTAAAAAAAGAAATGAATTAAACTTGAAAACGATATCACAAATCGAATCGCGGAAAATCGAAATCGAACGGGAACTAAATTTAAGACTTTTTCCTGGAAAAAACCACAAAAAAAACACAAGACCTAGCAAAACCTGCTTCTTGGATTCGAGCCCAATAATCAGCACAAATTTAATTTGAAGCTGATTGTACATACATTCCGATAAATATTTTTGAATATATATCAATATATTTTTGTTTAGCAACTGCATGAATGACGTCATAAGGTCGCTAGACCTGTCATGTAACGACTTTGTCGAGCACTCTAAACAATTCTTTTTTAATGACCATTCTTGTGCACCTAATATTCCGACCACTGTTGTGTAGCAAGAAAATTCCTTCCAGCGTAGAAAATATTATTTCGTAAAATGAAGCTCAAAAGACTGATGATTCCACTATTCCACAGATTCAAAATGAGGGGAATATAACACAACTATCCATATAAATAAACAGGGTCAGGAATATTTGCCCCAAGTGAATTGGGCCTATGCCAACTTGTCCTATACTAACGTGCCCTACATGGCAACTTGTTCTATGCCAACTTGTCCCACTGGGCATTTTGTCCTATGCCGTTTTGTCCCCTACTATACACTTTTACTTGATTCTTTGATGTTCATATTGAGGACCAGCAAGTGCTAATATACACTGGACTCGTTTTGAGATAACAAAAGACTCTAATTAAAAATTATTGAAGCTGAGCCTAAAAAACTAGAATTTTTGGTAATTACACGCCAAATTTGACAATAATCCACAATTAGCGCCTTTGATACAAAATGAAACACGACTATTCTTTCATTTTATTTCATCGTTTATCATTTTTTTCCAACACATCCAACATAAATACTATGAGTCAACTTACGTGGGGAAAATTTCAAAGAAATAAACGAACGCCAAACACTACTGAGCACTGGAGATGAGCAAGATACAGTTCACACAAAAAAGCAAACGACAAAAACTACTGAGCACTGGAGATGCGCAAGATACAGTTCACACAAATGCCGCATGCTCGCCGTCACAGCAGGAGATAAACTCGTATCAACAAAAAATGAGCACAGCCACGATGTTAGACCTGAGAAAATTGAGGCAAACCAGATCACGCATCAAATGAAAAAAGAGGCCACGCAGCAAATTGTACCTGTTAATAGTAGTATAATTGCCACTTGTCTCCAGGAAGTAACAAATGAGAAAGCTGTTCAATTATCCTTGCCCAATCGTGCAGCAATAAATAGAACTCTTAACCGCCAGAAACAGAACTTGGTCCCATCCTAACTTATAGCCATCGTACAGGGTCCAAACTTTGAGAGGTGTCAAAAGCCAATACTGCAATAATTTTGCTCATTCCCTCACCTCGCCCCCTATTCTGTGTTACCTCCCTAGTATAGGGAGGTTTTAGGGGCAAGGCAGTACCTGCGGTTTTCCGTTTTATCGATTTCAAACAAAATTTTTTTGACTTCTTCAAGTTTTGAACTCTTGACTTCTTGATTAAGATTGTTGTGCACTATTAACTATGCTATAGGAGCTTACAAGAACTGCAATCAATCTTTTGAAATGTTTAACTCGACATGGAAATTGCATTGAAATTTTGCCGCTTTCATTTTGTTCATGCATGCTTTGAACTCATTTTGATTCGGCACATGTTTTAATTATTCCGCATTTTCTTTCAAGCTTAATTGTTCAACAAAAAAATCTTTCATCTTTATGCCGACATTATGTTATACGAGGATATCAAAGAATCTGGGGCATGTTTCATATTTTATTATCTGGGACAAGATGGCATTGGACAAGTTGTCATCTGGGGCAAGTTGGAATCGGACAAGTTGACTTGGGGCAAAATGACATGTAACCAAATAAACATAGCCAGCAGACAGTTGGTAAGTCTCCATGAAAGTAAGGAAACCGGAAAAAAGACTGGCCTGTTTTTTTTAGAAAAACTTCAGCGAAGCGAACTAGTTTCCAATACAAAGTGATTTTAAGGCTCTTCGAATTTCTAAAGCAAGTTATGATTGACACTTATAAACTATCCCGAGATAAATTACCCGAATTTGAGAAAACTGGATCAACCGGTAATTTTTTATTCCGATGTGGGTTCTTAAATTTTTTATCGAATAGTTTTTTTGCGCCATTTCAGTGTTCGTAATTGCCTTTTTTGCAAGCGTTATTCTCCTTTTGTATCAATTGAATTTGAATTGAACATAAAATTGAATGAAATCAAATTAGGCGTGAAAAATTTAATGGCTTGCTCCTCGACCGATTCAAGTATTTTCATTACGTTCATTGACACTTCACGAGAAAATCTGCTAATTTCCAAGTAGCACGTAATCTTCTGACCCGTTGCGTAGAAAAAAAAATTCTCCCAACAAGGGGAGGATTGCTTTTTTCATTTTTCCATATACTTAATAGGCTCTTTTCCAGTTTCCCCCCACCTTTCAAAATACCGAGTTTTATGTTTGTTTTACGTGTTATTACGGCTAAATGCGTGATGTTACGCTGTAAAGTATGAAGAACACATCTGTTCACAGTTGTTGATTTGTTCACCACGCCAAATCTCATTGCATTATGACAAGGTTAAATAAGCTTTTCAAAGTTAAATTTGAAAGGGGGGGAACTGGAAAAGAGCCACTTAAAATTAGGGTGATTAACGTGCTACAACAAATTAAAACTAAATAAGTAATTGGACAATAATAGTTATATTATTAGTCAAAAGTAGAATGCATGCTACTCATTTCATCCATTCTGCGCTTAAAAGCCACAGTTAGTTCGAATGACGAGTGTTAAAACTTTATGCAAATGTTACATCACTTACAGTCATTTGAAATTTATTTGGAGTTTGGATTGAACACGTATGGATTTAGTTTGGATTATTGTTCCGACTTTCGATACGACAGTAACGGAATATTTGTGCTCGGGGTGGGTTTTTTTCTTCAGACAAATTTCGACTTTTTACCTAGCCATTTTTGACGGAATATTTTCATATCATTCGAAAGCTATTGTCGTCCTGAGCTTAAATTTGAAAAGATATTTCACCTGTGATAATTTTTCGTAAGGTTATGAGGGTTTAAAGATTGCCATTTTGACCTATTTGGGACAATTAACGCGCGATATAATTTGCGCTATTAAGGCGTAAGCGGAGATTTAATCCGCCTTAGAAATTGTTCCAAATTGGTTGAAAGAAGCTTATTTGCCATGAATGATTTGTTACAAGGAGCGAAATCTATTGTTTTGTACTTTATATGGCGTGTGGGGGGATGATTTTTATAGAAAAAATTTCAAATTTTAGAAAAAAAAAGTTTTTCATTTTATTTTATTTCATTTAATTTTTTGGATCTACTTAACAATCTCCCCCCCTTCAAGAATTTTCCGCTGTGGATTTATTTTTTCAAGAAGGGGGGAGATTCTTTAGTAGATACAATAGGGGGGATATTGTAAAGTAGATCCAATTTTTTTATGTTGTTTATGTTATTACTGCTCCATAAACCTTAAAAGGCAGTCGGAACTTTCAGGGCTTCGCCCTGATACGAGCAGTCTTGTTTGGAGTTTGGTTGACATTTTACTTGAGTTTGGATTGAAAAAACACCCGAACTCAAAGCTCCATCTAAGCTTTAGTGACTGGAACAATGAGCTTGTGTTGTAACTGCTATTGCATCCTACGTGATCACATGCATACTATATTTCATACACCGCCTCGAAATCTGCAGGATGTAAGCCTTGAAAAAATAAATAGCTTTGTATTATAACCTTTGCTTCGCTGGCAACACGTAGATTTTGACATTTAATTCATTAGGTACAAAGTTTAAATCCAAGTTAGAGTTGTTGTTTAAATCTGTTTACTGGTTTCAGCACAGTTTTGGGTCTAGTTCCTTCTGTTTCATCATCAAACTGAGATGAATTGAGAGCTGATACAACTTGGGGTGTCACGAGGTCACTGTCTGAGGAGTCCCCAGAGTCTAACTGCTCCACTTCTGGAGAGTAGGGTTCGTAATCTGGCCGGTCTACCACCACATCCAGCAGGGAGCAATACTTAATCACATCTCTCAAGTCTGACTCACTGATACGCAATTTCGATGCCAGCAGAGGAAGTGAGGATCCATCACTAAACAGTATCAAAAAGGCCTTAATTGATATTCAGGCTTAAAAATTAGCCAGTCTAGCTTTTAAAAAAAACCATTTTGCGCTTCAGGTTCTACAGAAATCTTATTTTATAACGTTATCTCTTTGAAAATCTACGAAAGAAAACGCAAAAAATAAATTATCGTTTCCACAAATATAACTAAATACTCACTTATATTTCTGCAGCAATTCAAAGAGTTGTACAATTGTTAATTTTCCCTTCGGAACAGCTGTTTCATGTGACTCTTCTGGTTTCACCTGAGGCAAACTTCTCAAAGCTTTTGCTTTTTTGGTTTCAATGATCGGATTGTCTCCCTCTGATTTGACAAAAACGGATTTCAAATTAGCTTCCAAGTTTTGATCTTTCGCGCTGCTTTCTTTAACAAATGACATGAACAAATCAGGATTCTGCGTTTTGAATTGGTTCAAGGCAGCTGCGTGACTTTTATGTGTTGGTGGCTTTGCCTTCTCAGCTCGCAGGGCTCGGTTGGCAGCGTTGAAGTTTCGAACTTTGGGAAGTTGCTGCCTTACACTGCTGAACCCAGTTCCCATCATACAATACTTCTGACTTAACTCTCGTCAACGTCCCATTATAAGCGAGCAAAAAACTGAAAACAACATTCCAGAAGAGATGACTGAAGAGAGTTCAAAACCTCAAATTTGACACAGAGGCGAAGCGGAGCTTCGCACCACTTGCGTTACAACACAAACATAAAAAACTTGGAGTCGAAAAAAACTAGGTGAACCAAAGTTTTCGTACTTATTGTATTTGTTTTACTGTTGGGACGAAATCCATGAAGACGAATAAATCAATTAATATTTGTGACAAATAAATTTGATTTGAACTCTATAATCAAGCCGCAAAAAAACTCCAGCATGAATAACTAACTTTTTCCAAAAAAGCTACGGAACAAAGTATTTTCAATTCATTCACTGACAGTTAACGCGCAAACAAAACTGGCCAAAATGCCTGAATTACTCCAATTTAGGCAAAAATGATAGGACATTGAATTCAGAAACTTGTTTGAGGAAAAACCAACGAGTAACGCACCTCCGGTGCTTCAAACAGATTAATGAACATAAAAAGAGCTTACGTATAAAATATATGGATAAAACAACAAAAAGCATGCAACCGTAAAAGACGGTGGCATCCAACAACGCGGTGTTTCAAATAATTGGTTTCAGATCTTCCTATTTTGAACCCAGAAAAAATCTTAAAATGGCCGACAGCCTACGGCAGCACTTTCCTTAGTTAAAAAAGACTTTTTGCAACCGTTTCATTTGCCAAATCGCAAACGAGATTCTTAATTAACTAAATTCTTCATTTTCATTAGGCCGTAAGTATATTAATTGCTGTCATCAATCGTTTAATCCTGCGTAATTAAGTTAAAAAAGAGTCAGAAAAATAAGAATTTTTCCTTAGCTTTATTCTTAGTTTTATGAAATGTTTTCAAGTATCGTACAACGCTGTATGACGTCATTTCTCGTTTTATTGTACAACTTCATTTCTCCAAAAAAACTGTACTACATCATTTCTCGGAAAATAAAAGCATTTAAGCAGTCAAAATTAGAGGCAAGATTTGCAACGCCTGATAGTACCCTGTTATCACCTCACTATAGAGAGGAGCGCTTCGAATTGTGTGAAGTTTGTTAGATCTAAGTTCTTTGACTACTCAAATGCTTTTAGTTTCTGAGATGACGTTGTTTTATGATTTTTTATAGAAATTTTGAAGAACTTCACACAATTCGAAAAGCCCAACTTTGTAGTGAGGTGCTAGGGTACTCTCAGGCATTTCCAATTGTTCTTATCCAATTTAAATAGTTTTAGTTTCCGAGATATGACGTTTTCAGAACTTTTAGATATAAGAAATTCACAAAAAGTAGTTGGGATTGAAAAACTTGCCTCCGAATATGACAGCTCAAATCCTCTATAATTTCCGAGATTACGTGGAGGCATGTTTTGCAATCACTGGAGTACCCTGGCAGCACCTTACTAGCTACGAGATATATCGGAAACTAAAACAATTTTAATATCCATATTTGGAGCCCAAAATCGCCAACTCTATGGAACCCTGACAACATTCCACTATTGGGTAGCTAACATAAAACTTGAAGTAATTACTAAATTCAAACTGTAAAATAGAAAAAAAAATTCTCAAGCAATCCAATATACGATCTAGCTTAAACGTGAAAAAATTCTTTCGTTAAACAAGCAAAAATGAAACGCTGAAAAAGCTTAAACATGGCCGGCTGTGAAGCACGCATTGAAATATATAATAGATGGATTACCTTCATAAAACCAAATGAGCCAGATAAGAACTCTTTACTTGAATTTAAATTTCTTTTCATTAGACACTGGCGAAGCAACAAGAGGCCTAATCTGATTATTTGAGCGCAACTAACGCTAGCTTACCAATAAAAAAAACTTTACAAGAATTGCAACCTTGTATGTGAACAGCTCGTGTGCTATTTCGAAAACGCAATCGAGCGATTGCTAAGTACGCATAACTACTGCGCCATGTTCACTAATATGGTTCAATAATATTTCAAAGGTAAAAACTTTAAAAGAATAGCTATATAAAAATTCAGTTGTCGGCGAAAACAAGAAACAGTCACAGGCAGTTTTAGTGCAAGGGCGAAGCAGAGGTTCTCGCCAGCTGCGATACAAACAAAAACATGTTGCATCAATCGGGTAATCCCCTTAAACTATAATTTCAGAAAATTTAGAGAAATACTGATTCATGCTTTGTTTTTGTGTGAATTCGTGTAGAAAGTAAAAAAAATCGTTCAAAAACCCTATATTCAGCGAAAAAAATTGGACTTCATTTAGTTGGAAGCAAAATTACAGGATTACAAAATAATGATTTTTAGAACTAGTAAATATTGCCCATATCATAGAAAATTACGTGCTGCGGTAAATTAGCAGCTGACAGTTCAATCCAGTATCAAACGACGATCAAGTAACCCACAAATTTCGCATGCTCTAAATGTCCCATCGCTGGCCAACGACAAAATTGACTAAAACGAGACGATGCCACCTTCGGAGATGATGGATTTTCAAGAAAATGAACGAGCTCTCAATAAAGGAGACGAGGTCACAACAACAACAGCACCGCCGACGTCGCGCAGCAGAGAGAATTCTACCACGCATGTGGCCTCGCCAGCAGAGAAGCGAACTGTACAGAACACTGCCACAAGAAATCCTACTGCAGTGGTATGAGCAGATATCGGAGCGGCTGTGGATGGCACTGCACAGCTCATGACGGCTCACAAGAAACCGGCTTAGCTATTGCAGGACGACCGATAGGCGAACTAAAGAAGCTCTCCCCGCAGCCAAACAAGAGGGCGTGTTAAATGCACGGCATGCAAGAAAACCATCGCTTGAAACATATCACCACTCAGCTGCTCCCTATGTGACGCACCCCATTATAAAATCTACGTCGTCCATCAGGGACACACAAGAGATGAAGTCGATGCTGCATACAATTCCGGACATTGGACGTGCCAAAAATGCTACAGACCTGTGTCTGTGGCCTCGACCGCGTCTACTCTAGATGAGGCGATTGAATCCTCTGAGCTACTGCAGACTGCCGACAAAGACGACATGAAGATCCTGCACTGGAACGCGGATGGAGTTTTGACAAATGGACAGAATTGTCGGAAAGACTCCGCGCGCAGGAAGTAGTTATCGCCCTCATACAGGAGACAAAGCTCAACAGCAGAAGGAGGACGCCGCAGGTCAACGGCTACGCTCCCATACGTTTCGACAGACTTCAGGGAAACGGAGGAGGTCTGCTCTGCCTGATCCAAAGCGACCTCCCCTTCACCTCCCAGAACGAATGGAACTGCATAAAGGGCAACGTTCAAACTACCCATTTAAAGTTAGGACAGCGAAGCGGCAATGGCTTACGTTCACCAATACTTACATCCCGCCTAACCGGGAAACAAGAGGCGAAGAAACCATTGTCACTAGCCACATCCCAACAAACAAACTGTTTTGTTGCCGGCGATCTCAATGGCCACTCCCCGTCATGGGACAAGACAGCCGTGGAGACCGAATAGAGGAGTGGATAGCCGACTGCAATCTTTTCAGTGCGAACAAGGGCGACGCCACCCAACACAACAGAGCCACTGGTACGGCCAGTAGCGTAGACATTCCTAGCCCCGATAACCTGGCTCAACCGTGTCAGCTGGCAGACTGGTAAGGACCTCGGACGATCTGACCCCACCTACCGATCCTGATAACACTCTGAACAAAGGTCTTAGTAATAAAACCACCAGCTAGGCGCAAACGATGGCTGGTAAACGCTGACCTCTCGCCTTTCGCAAAAGAACTAGAGCAAAAAATCAGCAAACCACCGTCGCCAGAACGCACCATTCACGGCAAAATCCGCCAGTTCAATGAAGTTCTGATCTCTGTTGCCACCGCTCACGTCAAAAAGACTAAACCAGGCAGCCGCACAAAAAACTACATCACCCCAGAGATAAAAAAACTCATTGGTCGCCGCAACAAGCTTCGCAGCCAGATCAGCACCCGACGCCTGCAGCGAAGTAAACTAGGCCATTGAGTACTCTAGATAGGAGAACTGGAAACAGTTTATCGAAGAAACGGAGTTCAGCACCGACCCATCGAAACTCTGGCGTGTACTCCACGCAATCGGAGACACCCCTCCCACCTGCCAGCTTAACGAAGCCCTCCTCCCCAAAGGCAGGAAAATCTGCAGTAACGTTAAACAAAAGCAGATGCCTTCATGGCTCACTACGCCAATGAGACCAGGCTAATTTTTAGCAAGGAGGAAAGATCAGGCTAATTTTTAGCAAGGAGGAAAGAAGACTTAATCTTATGGCCAAGAGTCTCCAACGCCCCAACCGTTGACGACGAAAGCACAAAAGATTTCAGCATGCAGGAACTAAACAAGGCCATAAAATGCATGCGAAAAAAAGTTGCAGCAGGCCGACGAAATCAACCCAGCTTTCATCAAGGCATTAAGCCCGCTTATCTGAAGAGCCATGCTTGACATCTTCAACGAGTCGTGGCACAGCGCAAACTGCCCCCAGATCTGGCGAAACGCGCACATAACACCCCTATTCAAAACGGGGAACCAGCGAGTGAGATAGCCTCATACCGCCCAATCAGCCTAACATCCTGATAGCCAAGCTGCTGGAAAGGATGATCGCCTCGCGATTGGTCTACTTAATAAAAAGCAAAGGCCTCTTAAGTACCAAGCAAGCAGGCGGCCGCAGGAATCGGTGCTGTGAAAACCTCATAATTAGGCTTACCCAGGCAATAGACGACGGCTTCCAACTGCGTAAACCGCAAAGAACCGTAATGGCGCTGTTCGACTATTAAAAAGCCTTCGATCGGGTCTGGCGAGAGAAACTAATCATCACTATGAATGATAAAGGAATCCCCGCAACATATATCCGCTGGGTAAAAGCAATCCCAAACAACCGCCAGGCTAAATGCCTCTACAGTACAGCTTACAGCAGCTCCCTTAAACTCCGTCAGGGAGTACCGCAAGGCTCTGTTCTTGCGCCCTTACTCTTCTTGCTCTTCAGACCCAATAACAAACAAGCTACCTGAAAACTGTGCTCTTCATGGACGACCTCTCGGTATGGGTTTCGGACCACGACCGCAACAAGGCAGCGCACGACATACAGACAGCCATTGACAACGTCCCCAACTGTAGCAGGGAGAACAAACTGAACCTAAACCCAACCAAGCGCGAGATAACATTCTTCTCTTTGGCATCCACCGATTCCAATTGGAAGCCAAACACAAAATTCCATGACAGAGACATGCCGTCCAAGCCAAATCCCAAATTCCTGGGCGTGCGTCTAGACCGCACATTCTCCTTCGCACCCCACTCGGACGATGTTACCAAAAAGGTAGAAGGAAGGACGAAGCTGCTCCGCGCCGTTAGCCATTGCTCAGTAAAACATAACGGGAGCGACTAGAAAAGGCACAAAACAAGGCGCTCAGAGCCATCACTGGGCATGCTACAAGTACCCCAATAGAGGCATTTCTTCGCATTGAGGCAGGTATTGATAGCTACGCATAGCAATCGCCTAATAGCAATCTCAAAGCAAAAGGCAGAGCGTCAACACGAGCTTCACCCCAGACGCGAAGCACTATCAGGCACAGTCAACCATCGCCTCTAGAAAAACAACTGGAGAATGCGGGTATAAAGGAACTAGAAGCAACTTATCATCCAACCTTAACCGGGCTACCAACACAACCAACGAACGAAATCGCTTGCCCATGGACGCCGTCTGACCACTGGATCGCCCATAGCAAGCTAAAAGGCGAAAATAGAAACGATGAAGCCCCAGCCACCGCCTACGCCCTGATCAGAGACAAATGCCAACTGGACGATATATACAGACGGACCTGCATCAGCTGGGACCTCTAACGGCGGATACGCATGCATCGTCACCGAGGGCGATCCAGAGGAACCAAATATCATAGAGGTCGTAAACCGCAGAGGACGCGTATACACAAGCTCCTATGATGAAGAGTAAGCTGCACTACTAGCTGCAATACTATGGCTCAGCACCAACCAGTGTGATAACCACCACGCACTCATATGCACGGACAGCCAATCCCTCTGCAGCGTCCTTCAGAACGAATCAGCTGACACCAGCAATATCAAGCAACTCCTAAGCACGAACAGAGGGAGAACTACAATACAATGGGTTCCGGGCCATGTAGACATCTTCGGCAATGAGCTAGCCGACCAGCACGCATAAGAAGCAGCGGACGACAGAGATGAAACACCCGAGCCCACTAGCCTGAACGCAGCGCGCTCAATGATCAAACGCGCCATCAAAGACCCGCCACCAACGCATCTCTCGCACCTACGCAAACTACTCCGAAAAGAGAGAAAGAAGAATAAAGAAGACAAGAAAAGAGACGCAGTACTGCTAGCGCAAATCAGAAGTGGTCACTCCTGTCATTTTAACGCCTACGCCAACTTGATGGACCCCACGAAAGATCCAATGTGCAATCTCTGCCAAGAGGCTCCCCAAACAGTCGAGCACTGGCTAGAATGCGCGGGAACAATGGCAGCCCGCATGGAAATATTCGGAACAACAGATACCCCACTCGAAACCCTGTCGGAGGACACCGCCGGTGCACTAGCGCCCGCTAGAAAAACCCTCCTAGGCGTGCCGCGATAGCGGGCCACAATCACACACACACACACACACACACACACACAACAACAGCAGCAACGACAGTTCACTAACGATTATTTCAAAACTTTCTTGGCTGACCTCAAACCGCGGACTTTTGACGATCATAGCATGGAAGTTACCTCTGGGCCAAAAGCAGAACCAAAGAAAAACGCAAAAAGCAGTGACAAAAAATAAAATTTGACAACAATTAACTTTCGGTGAAATTTTTTCAAATGCATGCATATTAAATTTTCACTGTCACAGCTGTTAAATATATGATTCAAAACTGTTTCATACTGTTCGGATTATTGTTTTAAACAGCAGCCAGGCTGCGCTTTGCAAATATTACCGAGAAAACGACCAAAAAAACAGCTCTATAAATTGAAATGAGAAAAACAAAAAAATAAACCTCGAATTAGTAAAACTTATGCTACGTGTCGGATTCACACCTGCGACCACGAAACGCGGAGTCTCACGTTCTCGCATTTGCCCCACGTGCGATTGAAATTTTGTTAACACGACAAGTAGCTTAGAAACCTCAAGTCCTTCCCTCAGCGCAACCGATGCTTGCTACCAGCAAACACTAGCCATCAATATAGCAGAGCACAGATGCTCTGAAGTTTCCAATGCTACAGATCATGATTATACCAAAAATGCCTACAAATGAGTATTATTTGCGATTTATGTTGGAAAAAAAGGTTGGAGTCATACTAATATACTACGCTCGTTTGTAAAAGTATTATCAATACAAAACATTTCTACTGATGACTAAACCTTAAATTATGATTTTAATCTTCCAGCTCAAAAGTCACTATCGCAAACAAAATCGAAAATTTCCACCTTCGGCCGCTAATACGCTTTATACCCCAACTACCGCTTGTATTGGTATTAAACATCCTTGTTCAGAACTAAGTAAACTTGAAACAAAATTTCAATTAAACGAAAGTGTCTTACAACCCTCAAAAATCAGTTCAATGCAGCCTTTTTTTATGTTATACCCTCATAATATTTACTGGTCAATTTTTGATTATTTTTCTTTCCAGAAAACAGTTTTAGCGCTTATTCTTCGCGAGCTTTTGATATTCTTATTTGATTGGCTCTCATATTTATGGGCTTTCGGTCATTCTGACCAGAGCGATTCTCAATAATTGAACATTTCAATATTTTTGCCACCTGCATATTTGGAAGAACAGAATTATCAAATTGATTAAGTCTCATTCTACAAACTTTAAAAAAACAGGTTCAACCTTCAAACTCAGATATGTACAGATTAATACAGTGATCAAAATAATCAGATGATGTCAAAATGCAACCCTTCAAAAGCAAAGCAATTAACAACATCACACGAACAACACTCATCACATATCAACAAAATCTCGATATCCCTCTTTTTGAAAGAGTCATTTGTATCCCTCATTTGCAAAACATCTTCTCGAGCATAATTCTTTTTGGACTATGCCTGGAAATGTGTGAGGACTCTGGCAGACGGATTAACTTGTTCGCCGCACCACTTGGGCATCCACATGTAAGGTATGAGATGATCCAAACTCGGGTAGCTCTGCAGGAACTTCTTACGATAGTAGAGTGCCTCTTTAGTCTGGGGTGGGTTGTGATTGTAAGTTTTGGAGGCAGTGGCCAGTTCGTCATCTGAGATGATAGTTTCGATGTGGTCTTGCAGAATGGCGAACCATGGCCGCTCAATGGAGGACACTCCATCACTGAATGCTTCCTTTGGACGCCACAGTATCTCTTTCGGGATTAAGTCAGAGCCGTCAAATGCCTTCCTCAGAGTGAATTTTTCCACTTTACTAGAAAAAAAACGTAAATTATTGCCCATTTTTTAAAAACAAGATACTATTAAAATGTGTCCAAGTAAATCAATTAAGGGAGGAAAATCAATCAATTGGTTAAAAGCTCTCTTTCGGCCAATCAGAATTCAGCATTTTGCCTAGCTGTTTAAAATCGTTTAATTTAAGGGGGCATTGTGGCTAGAATGGGGAGAGGGGATACCCTGAACCCTGAAACGAAAGAAAGCTTCGCTTTTTTCATAATATGCTATTAAGTCAATTAAATATCTACGCACTTGATAGGCTGTTTGAGTTCGTCAGGCAAAGCAGTGTAAATGTGAGTTAAATAGTGGTCCAGAAAAGGAACCCTCAACTCCAGTCCATGTCCGGCAGTAGTTCTGTCTGCTCTGAGAACATCGTAGAAGTGCAGATCTTTCATGAGTCTCATGCTCTCTACTGCTGCCTCTTTGGGAGAAGGAGCATTGTGGAAGTAGATGTATCCTTGACACAACTCATCCGCTCCCTCGCCTACAATTAACTCGACTTGAAAAATTACTGCTTCTGCAACCTTATTCTGAAGTTTAACCAACGTTATACAGGCAAACCTAACAAAATAAACAAGAAAAACAAACATAGCCAACTGACAATTGAAAAGTCATGAGCGCAAGGAAACAAAAAAAAATTGAGTGCTTTTTGAAATTATATGTTGCTCTATGAATTTCTAGAACAAACTATAAATGATAAAATTAATAACTCAATTTGAGAAAACTGGGCCAATAGATATATTTTTTATTTCGCTGGGAAATCTGATAATTAACCAAATTATTCAAAAACCCGAAAAAAATTCAGTAGCTTTTAGTAATGATCAAATGCTGAAATTTATGATGGTCACAAAAAAACTCATTTTAGCATTATTTTCATGTACCTGAATTTTGCCTAATGCCCGTCGGCTGGTTATTCAAAACCAGTATTAGAAAACGGTTCAAGATTTTCTGTCCATATTCAAGTGGAAACCTGAGTGGGTGAGGAGAACGGAGACCGCTCAACTAGCAAACTTGACTAGCAAAACAGCAAAAGAAAAAAACACTGGTAATTCGAGGGCTCTGTTTCACAGCCCAGAGCTTTTAAACACAGAGGCGAAGTTGCACTTCGCATACACAAGCAAAAATAAGACCGATAACGCTACTGGGAAAAACTGAATGAGTAAAACTTTGAGCCTACAAAATTTCTTCAGTGAAGCACGCTAATTATGAAACTAAATAATTGCGAAGTGACACAAGCTAATTATGACGCATTAGCAGTCAATTTGGAAAAAAAAAGAAATTTACTAATATCCTCAATTTATAGAGCGGACGCATTTTAGCTAGCATACGAAAAAGTTCATTAAAAACATCCGACCCTGCCCAGGTTTGAACCCTCTTATTTTGTTGCGGGTATCCTTCCCTACCTTTACGCTACAGATCCATGACTCCTTGGAGCTAAAATGCTATTTGTAATATAATAGTCGGTGTTAATATCCTTAGATTTGGCTGTACTTAATAGCTGGTTATTGTTCAAAATGAACACATTTTGTCGCAACAATATTTGCGCCGCAATAATATGTGCGACTTAGGTTAAAAAAAAGCACTGGAAAAGCACTTGGAAAAAGCACTGGAAAAGGACACAAAATTAAAGAGAGTTCATACTATAACACAAGCTTTGCTTGAGTTAAGATCAAAAAGTATAAAATATCAAAATTTTTTCTCATGAACACAAAATTATACAGAGGCAAAGCTGCAATTTTGCAAACTAGAGTAAAAAACGACACAAAATAGCTAAAATGGTCAAAACAGGAAAAAGTTAAATTAATTAAAAAATCAGCTGTACCAGAATCGAAACACCTAATAAAAATCTGATATTTTCCGCAATCGAACACTTCCTTTAATCTGCACAATGGAAGCGTGTCAATTTTCAAATTCTAGCCACTACTAAACCATATAAAAAGATATAATTCCATGCATCAAAATTAAACCAGATTACAATGTTACTGCTGCAAGTGCAACCAAAGAAATGAACTCTTTTATTTGCGACTTGGCTTCGGGAAAACGTAAAATGACAATACGCTCCGCTTGTGTAAATTATATTGTTCAAATTGAAATTTGTGTTTCTCAGGAAAAAGATTAACGCATAATCAAACAAATATTTTGAAGTGGCGTTTTAAAAGTGTTGACTTTTTAAGTCACCGACTCGGTTTTTTAAGCATTTCCGTTAGTTATTTCAAAAATTCAAAAGCAATCAGACAAATGAAATAATCGTTAGATCAAACTGCATCTAAATGAAATACTTCTAATGAAACTTTCATCCAATTTTTAATCTGAAAGATTTTAAGAATGCATTATGTTAAAGCGATCAATTATCAATTTTAATTGTACGGAAGTTTTGTATTTGAAACTAGTCGATGCGAAATTCAGTTTTAAAACTTTCATGCTAGTCGAAACAATGACATTGCAGTTCTTAATAATCGATATACGGATTTTGGTTAATCAATTTTTTTGTAGTTAACCAACTATTTCAAAGAAAGGTGAGGGAAGCAACTAATCAGAGAGTTGCGCTTTATTTCAACTATTAATGTAAAATTCACCTAGACCCGGTAGTATTTTAAACGGAAATGAACTGTTTTTTTAAACGCATTTAGGCAAAAAGACCGTACTAGCACAATCATGCTTTGTAGCTGTCAGAAGAATGATGGTAGAAATTCAGCAAAAAAAAACATCTATTTACTCTTACACGAAATTTAGTAACTTGGTTTCAAACTCAAAATTGTGATGTTTTGACTCCATTTTGGGACCCTCGCTGTGTTAAATTTTTTGCGTTGCTTCATCGTTAATCAAAAATCTATATCTCAAGAGTGTTTTTCAAGATTACAATTACGAAAAAGAACTTTCAACATACTTTTTATAGAACGCCTAGTTCTCCGCACAGAAATTTGAAACACAGAAGCGAAACGGAGCTTCGCACCACTTGCGATACAAAACAAAAAAAGCATAAGACGAAAAAATTGATCAATATTGAAAAAACTAAGTGAGCCAAAAACTTCGCATGTCTGGATGTAGGACACTAAGGTCCCAGCTAAAGCTGGATGTACGTGTTTGATATGATTTTTGAATTTGCTTTATTGAGGCGGGACGAAATGCGCAATTTCAAAATATGGACTTAGCCCAAAACCTTAGTTGTTTCTCCACTAAAACAAGTGAGAAGAGTGAAACTTTTTGACACTTGGAAATTTTCTCAAAGACAACCTTTTTCTTGCAAAAAAAATAAAGAAGTAACCGCTTCTTCAGAAAAAAAAATTCGCGCAACCGCTTCTTTTGATTGAAATTTTCATCTAAGATTTGATAGGGTAGTTTTTAAGAAAATTCAGAAGTTTCTGAAAACCGGTCCAATTTCAAAAACTTGAATTTCCGAACTCCATAGCGTCTTTCTGCTGAAAACAGGTCGTTACCCGTAAAGAAGAAAGATTCCCAAAATTGGGTTTCTCGATTGAACACTTAACCTGAGACTTGGCACGGTAATGTTCGAGAAAAGTTTCCAAAAACGGTCAAAGTTTCATAACTTTCACTGGTTTAAGGTCTTAACTTTTTGCTAAAACAAACTGGGCGTAGCAAAATACAAAAGTGGGCTTCGAATAAATTGTTGTGTCGATTAAATCTATGATATCAGATTTGGCAGGATAATTATCGAAAAAATTTCAACAAACGGTCAAAAATCAAAATTAAATTTTGACATTTCCGAGGGCCATCATTTTTTGTGTCAAAATATTGTGCGTAGTCGCGCATGCAAAGACGCTTCCTAAAACCCGTTCTTTGGGTTGAACCCAAAATCTCAAAATGCTCAAAAAATTTAAAAAAACAATCGACTTCACCGATGACGAAAACTTTTTGTTTAAAAAAACTTCTGAGTGGCCGCAAACACAGGGTAGCTTCCCACTACCTCTTATCTCCATTGAACTTATAACCTCAGGTTTGGGATGTTAGTTTTCGAGAAAAGTTTTATAAAAATTCAAAAAACGGTCAAAAAATCAAAAATTTGACCATTCCGAGGGCCATAAGTTGATGTGCAAAAAAGTTTAGACTTAGCCGCTAAGACAGAGGAGCTTTTCATTACCCTGTCTCTCTATTGAACCCACAATCTCAGATTTGAGAGTTTTGCTTTTGAGAAAACTTTTAAAAAAATGCAAAACACGGTAAAAAAAATCAAAAAACTGAAAATTCGGAGGACTATTCCGAGTGTAAAAAAGTTGGGGCGTGTCTTTTATGGAGGAGAGATTCCGTTCTCGGAGAGATAGCAATCCGTTCTATTCATTGAAAACAAGTTTTAGATTTGGTATGTTAAGTTCTGAGAAAACAACAAAAAAAATCAAAAATATCGGTTAAACATTCTCCCCAAAGACTGCTTCGAAGGCTATAGACAAAGAAGTAAAGCAAAAAGAGACCAAGGAAGTATGAAGGCACACAAAAATGAAGGTGGTCATTCTATGGATACCTTTTTGAAATTTGAAAATCGGTAGAAGGGTTTTTGAGAAACTAAACTTTTTGTAAAAGTGATAAAATTTTCCAAAGGGTCTCAAAAATATTTTAAAAAACCAAATCCCATAGAAGTTCATAATACCTGTTTTTATCAAACAAGAATTCTCGGCAACCATGCCAAGCAAGACATTCGATATTCAAAATAGCAACTGAACAAAACTTACGGAGCGGAAACAAGGCCCACAATCTTAGAGCAGACACCAAGTTGAGCTGAAAAAAAAACTTTTAAAAGCTGGTGATAGACCCAGCCAATCAGAATTGAGTAATCACAAATTATGAATATCTAAGAGAAGATAATTAAAGTTGGAGCAGTCAAATCAACAGTCGAATTCAAAATAAGAAATCGTGCTGCTACGTCTTACAAGCTTACCAGCACCAACACGCGAGCTGTTCACGAAAAAGCCTGGTGGTTATTGGCGCGAAGCAACTAGGAGATAATTTCAACGTGTCTGCCAATTTTGCATTCGGTTTGCTGCATAAATCGTTCAGCGAGCATGAACTTATTTAGTTTCTCTACAATTCTGCTAATTAAAACAATTCCATCATCCGGTCCCACCATCATGAAAACAGCCACAGCCAAGAACTATTCTTAGGTGGTGTTTGAACAAAGAAAAGTTATTTGAACCATGCTTGCTTAACCGAATCTTGATTTGAGTAAGAAATATAGCTTCTGTTTATTTTCTATACGCCAAATGAATTACTAAAATGTTAATTAAATTACTATTCATGGTAACTAAGATTCTCAGCCCGTTTTCGGCTACTCATTTCCCAAAAACTCATATTCCAAAATTGCTGTAACTGCGTAAAATTTCCAGAACTCAGCCAATTATGGTAACCGTTCATTTCATTTTTACGAGGCTCTAGATATTGCAAATGGTTTGCTTGCCATTCATAATATCTAGCGCGTCCTAAATGACTTGACAAAGTGTCGATATAGTGCATGATAAAACTAAGAGTGGGCTGTTATGGCTAGGCTGTTATGATGATACTACCTGAGAATATTATTTTGCAGTCGCTCTGTTCCTTTATGTATTGCGACACGAGGTACATCCCCGTTGATGCTCTAACTGTCGTGACGTCATATGACTCTATTTGGTGGATGACCCGGTCCACAACCGCCAGGAAGTCGGCGCTGCTCTTCACGATAGAGTGATGCTTGGTACCTATGTAATCTGCCACCTTCTGCGCCGCAACCAAATCTGTGCTGTTCTTGTCTAGACCTGTTGATCACAAAAGATCTATTACACTAAATATACTAATATTTGTAACCCAAAAATTTACTAATATTTAATAACCCAAAGCATATTAAAACAGAAACAACAGGGTTAAGAAATTAGACGATAAGCAAATTATACGGATCCAATAAAACGAAATTTAGACGTCATGTTATAGCATTAGAAATTTAGCACTTTAGACGGAAAGCAAAGGGCTAACAAAATGTATTGCTTAAAACAAACTTCACAAATACAAGAAGTGTATCTAATCCCATTGCATGTCAAAATTTAGTAGCCCAGACAGCGCAAGAAAAGCAATACAAATGCAACAGATTCTTTATGTGGACTGACCAATAGCGAACGTCTCCAATTCGTAATCGTGACCCCATTTGGCCATCTGCTGTTTGACCAGTGCACACACTAGACTGGAGTCGAGGCCTCCAGACAACATGCAGCCTATTTTGCAGTCTGCCAACATTCTAATGTCCACTGCATTAGTGAGAGCATGTCTCACTTTCTCCTCCGCAGTCCAGCTGTTGTTCACTTCGTCCACTTTGTATCCAGGCATGTCTCCGATAGTGTGGAACCTCTCCCGCCTCACAAATCGGAGAGATCCTCGTTTGGTCAGATCAAACTCCGAGAAATGACCAGGGGGGTGTGGCTGAATCGTGGCACTGTCCGGCGGACAGGACGCTAGAGCGTGAGTGAGTGCTTTCATCTCTGAAGCGGCCGCTCCGAAACCCACATTTTCAGACGCAGGCATGTGCTCTATTGTGAAGAGAGGTCTTACGCCGAAAGTGTCTCGCACATAGAACACCTTGTTGTTCTTTACGTCTGCCAAAATGAAAGCGAACACCCCGTAAAGTTGTTTGACACAGAACTCAATGCCACCTGAACAGTAAACGATACAACAATCCAATTTGAAAAGATATGTATTTGGTGAAAATTAACGGTAAGTACACTCACCACTCTCTCTGAGGAAACACCCACCCTCGGCCTTTTGCGCTACATATCTTTAATATTCTCTATCTACAAGCGTTCAGTTTATTGGCAGCACAATTTTTTATCTCGCATTACGGTACATCAAAGGAGCAACTTGAAATGTAATTGAAGCAAACTGATTGTCAGTATGATTTTGGTGGTACCTTTGGCATATAGGTGAAGGATGATTTCTGTGTCGCAGCTAGTCTCGAAGTTGAACCCATGCTGCTGCTTGAGCTGTCTGTAGTTGTACACCTCCCCGTTGTAGACCATGAACAGATGCTCGTGCTGCTTCAGCTTCAGGGGCTGCATGCCATGCTGTGGGTCTACAACTGACAACCTTACGAATCCCAGCACACAGTTCTCGAACGGACCCACACTCAGCATACTGAAGGCGTCCGGACCCCTGTGTCTGATTTTGAAAATGTCTGGAACCATTTTAGACATGCAGTTGTCATCGCTGCACCCAAATAAGGCCCAGATGCCACACATTCTCAAAACCCTTAAGATTCAACAGACCACAATCAGCGACCACATATCAAGTGCTTAAAGACAAATCAACTCCAAAAATTGCCCAACTCATAAAAAAATTAGGTGCGGCGGCAACAAAGCAGCTGACAGTTCAACCCCGTGTCAAAACGATGTCTGTGTCAAAACGACGATAATAAAGTAATCCAAAAATGCCGCATGCCCGAAATATACCAGCAACCGGTTGCAAAGTTCAAAATCATGAGGATGTCAACAGGTCATTGAGTGCACGTGTTGTCCAACAATTTAAGTGATTTTGTTTAACAAGTTGTTAACCTGGAAAAAAACTATATTCCGATTGGACAACACTTGCTAATCGCAGGCGTAATGAAAACCACTTGAATTTAGAGGCAATGAAAATACAAAAAAAAATACACAGGCGAAACATATTCCATATGACTTGCCAGAGAGATATTTTTAAAGCAAGCAAAAAAATTCAGAGGTGAGCTTTTACAAAAGAAAATACCAGGCGAAACGTATTCCGCATGACTTGCCAGACAGATATTATTAAAGCAACCAAAAATACAATAGTGAGCTTATACAAAATAAAATACCAGGCGAAACGTATTCCGCATCACTTGCTAGACAGATACTATTAAAGCAAGCAAAACATTCAAAAGTGAGTTTATACAAAATAAAAATACCAGGCAAAACGTGTTTCGCATGACTTTCCAGACAGATATTATTAAAAAAACTCAAAAGTGAGCTCATACAAAAAAACACCAGGCGAAACATACTCAGCATGACTTGCCAGACAGATATTAATAAAGAAAGCAAAAAAATCAAATGTGAGCTTATACAAAATAATATTCCAGGCGAAACGTATTCCACATGACTTGTCAGACAGATATTATTGAAGCAAGCATAAAATTCAAAAGAGCTAATACAAAATAACACACCAGGCGAAACATATTCAGCATGACTTGCCACACAGATATTATTAAAGCAAGCAAAAATCTCAAAAGTGAGCTTTTACAAAATAATATACCAGGCGAACGTACTCCGCATGACTTGCCAGACAGATATTATCAAAGCAAGCAAAAAATTCAAACGTGAGCTTATACAAAATAACATACCAGGCGAAACGTATTCCGCATGACTTGCCAGACAGATATTATTAATGCAAGCAAAACTACAAAAGTGAGCTTATACAAAATAAAACACCAGGCGAAACGTATTCCGCATGACTTGCCAGACAGATATCATTAAAGCAAGCAAAAAATTCAGAAGTGAGCTTATACAAAATACCAGGCGAAACGTATTCTGCATCACTTGCTAGACAGATACTATTAAAACAAGCAAAAAATTCAAAAGTGAGGTTATACAAAATATTATACCAGACGAAACGTATTCCGCATGACTTGCCAGACAGATATCATTAAAGCGAGCATAAAATTCGAAAATGAGCTTATACAAAATAATATTCCAGGCGAAACGTATTCCACATGACTTGTCAGACAGATATTATTGAAGCAAGCATAAAATTCAAAAGAGCTAATACAAAATAACACACCAGGCGAAACATATTCAGCATGACTTGCCACACAGATATTATTAAAGCAAGCAAAAATCTCAAAAGTGAGCTTTTACAAAATAATATACCAGGCGAACGTACTCCGCATGACTTGCCAGACAGATATTATCAAAGCAAGCAAAAAATTCAAACGTGAGCTTATACAAAATAACATACCAGGCGAAACGTATTCCGCATGACTTGCCAGACAGATATTATTAATGCAAGCAAAACTACAAAAGTGAGCTTATACAAAATAAAACACCAGGCGAAACGTATTCCGCATGACTTGCCAGACAGATATCATTAAAGCAAGCAAAAAATTCAGAAGTGAGCTTATACAAAATACCAGGCGAAACGTATTCTGCATCACTTGCTAGACAGATACTATTAAAACAAGCAAAAAATTCAAAAGTGAGGTTATACAAAATATTATACCAGACGAAACGTATTCCGCATGACTTGCCAGACAGATATCATTAAAGCGAGCATAAAATTCGAAAATGAGCTTATACAAAATAAAACACCAGGCGAAACATATTCAGCATGACTTGCCAGACAGATAGTATTAAAGCAAGCAAAAAATTCAAAAGTGAGCTTTTACAAAAAAATATACCAGGCGAACGTACTCCGCAAGACTTGCCAGACAGATATTATTAAAGCAAGCAAAAAATTCAAACGTGAGCTTATACAAAATAATATACCAGGCAAAACGTATTCCGCATGACTTGCCAGACAGATATTATTAATGCAAGCAAAACTACAAAAGTGAGCTTATACAAAATAAAACACCAGGCGAAACGTATTCCGCATGACTTGCCAGACAGATATCATTCAAGCAAGCAAAAAATTCAGAAGTGAGCTTATACAAAATAAAATACCAGGCGAAACGTATTCTGCATCACTTGCTAGACAGATACTATTAAAACAAGCAAAAAATTCAAAAGTGAGGTTATACAAAATATTATACCAGACGAAACGTATTCCGCATGACTTGCCAGACAGATATCATTAAAGCGAGCATAAAATTCGAAAATGAGCTTATAAAAAATAAAACACCAGGCGAAACATTCAGCATGACTTGCCAGACAGATAGTATTAAAGCAAGCAAAAAATTCAAAAGTGAGCTTTTACAAAAAAAATATACCAGGCAAACGTACTCCGCAAGACTTGCCAGACAGATACTATTAAAGCAAGCAAAAATACAAAAGTGAGCTTGTACAAAAAAAACACCAGGCGAAACGTATTCCGCATGACTTGCCAGACAGATATTATTTAAGCAAGCAAAAAAATTCAAAAGTGAGCTTATACAAAACAATATACCAGGCGAAACGTATTCCGCATGACTTGCCAGACAGATATTTTTTGAGCAAGCAAAATTAGAAAAGTGAGCTTATACAAAATAAAATACCAGGCGAAACGTATTCCGCATGACTTGCCAGACAGATACTATTAAAGCCAGCAAAAAATTCAAAAGTGAGCTTATACAAAACAAATACCAGGCGAAACGTATTCCGCATGACTTGCCAGTCAGATATTATTAAAGCAAGCAAAAAATTTAAAAGTGAGCTTATACAAAATAATATACCAGGCGAAACGTATTCCGCATGACTTGCCAGACAGATATTATTAAAGCAAGCATAAAATTCAAAAGTGAGCTTATACAAAATAACATACCAAACGAAACGTAGTCCGCATGACTTGTCAGACAGATATTATTAAAGCAAGCAAAAATAAAAAGTGAGCTTATACAAAATAAAACAACAGGCGAAACGTATTCCGTATGACTTACCAGACAGATATTATTGAACCAAGCAAAAAATTCAAAAGTGAGCTTATACAAAAAAAAATACCAGGCGAAACGTATTCCGCATCACTTGCTAGACAAATACTATTAGAGCAAGCAAAAAATTCAAAAGTGAGCTTATACAAAATAAAATACCAGGCGAAACGTATTCCGCATGACTTGCCAGACAGATATTATTAAAGCAAGCAAAAAATTCAAAAGTGAGCTTATACAGAATAATATACCAGGCGAAACGTATTCCGCATGACTTGCCACACAGATATTATTAAAGCAAGCACAAAATTCAAAAGTGAGCTTATACAAAATAATATACCAGGCGAAACGTATTCCGCATGACTTGCCAGACAGATATTATTAAAGCAAGCAAAATTAAAAAAGTGAGCTTATACAAAATAAATTACCAGGCGAAACGTATTCCGCATGACTTGCCAGACAGATGTTATTAAAGCAAGCAAAAAATTCAAAAGTGAGCTTATACAAAATAACATACCAGGCGAAACGTAGTCCGCATGACTTGCCAGACAGATATTATTAAAGCAAGCAAAAATACAAAAGTGAGCTTATACAAAATAAAACACCAGGCGAAACGTATTCCGTATGACTTGCCAGACAGATATTATTAAAGCAAGCAAAAAAATTCAAAAGTGAGCTTATACAAAATAATATACCAGGCGAAACGTATTCCGCATCACTTGCTAGACAGATACTATTAGAGCAAGCAAAAAAATCAAAAGTGAGCTTATACAAAATAAAATACCAGGCGAAACGTATTCCGCATGACTTGCCAGACAGATATTATTAAAGCAAGCAAAAAATTCAAAAGTGAGCTTATACAGAATTATACCAGGCGAAACGTATTCCGCATGACTTGCCAGACAGATATTATTAAAGCAAGCATAAAATTCAAAAATGAGCTAATACAAAATAAAACACCAGGCGAAACATATTCAGCAAGACTTGCCACACAGATAATATTGAAGCAAGCAAAATACACAAAAGTGAGCTTTTACAAAATAATTTACCAGGCGAACGTACTCCGCATGACTTGCCAGACAGATATTATTAAAGCAAGCAAAAATACAAGAGGGAGCTTATACAAAAAAAATTACCAGGCGAAACGTATTCCGCATGACTTGCCAGACAGATATTAATAAAGCAAGCAAAAAACTCAAAAGTGAGCTTATACAATATAATAAACCAGGCGAAACGTAGTCCGCATGACTTGCCAGACAGATATTATTAAAGCAAGCAAAAATACGAAAAGTGAGCTTATACAAAATAAAACACCAGGCGAAACGTATTCCGCATGACTTGCCAGACAGATATTATTAAAGCAAGCAAAAAATTCAGAAGTGAGCCCATACAAAACAAAATACCAGGCGAAACGTATTCCGCATGAATTTCCAGACAGATATTAAAAAAGCAAGCAAAAAATTCAATAGTGAGCTTATACAAAATAATAAACCAGGCGAAACGTAGTCCGCATGACTTGCCAGACAGATAATATTAAAGCAAGCAAAAATACAAAAGTGACCTTATACAAAATAAAACACCAGGCGAAACGTATTCCGCATGACTTGCCAGACAGATATTATTAAAGCAAGCAAAATTACAAAAGTGAGCTTATAAAAAATAAAATACCAG